AAAGGTCGTATATACTGACCCAATAGCATATCTTAGAAAACTAGAGCCAATCAACTAATTTTAAGCATCTATTTTCGTTCTCAGTGACCCAGAATTAGTAAAGTTTGACTACATTTATTTCAGAAGCATTTTGGCTGTAAAGTAGTGTAATCAGTTGTTCTACTTAAAATGTTTCACTCTCTCAGAAGGCAAAAACAATACTAAATGATTTACATAACCATACAAATTACCATTAACAGTGAACAGTATGCAAACAACTCATTGGCTGATATTTTTGAATATACTTTTAATCAAACAATTACTTTGAATTACTATTTGAATTTATGTGGATAGTTAATTTAACTAAAAAATAGGTTATTCACAATGAACGTTAGTTATTTAAAGATGAGGAAGAGGTAAAAAGAAAATAATTGTCCTAAAAATGGCAGGAGTACCAACAAGGTTTTTAGCTTTCTCTCTGTTCAAAAGCCTACAGTAGAGATAAACTATAAACGATGACAAAAACCTTCAATTAGTGTTTTTGTTGGTTTGTTAAGCAAAGTTAAAATATTTAGCATGAAATCCTGCCTGTTAAATCAATGGCAAAACTCCCATTGACTTGAACAGGTCCAGGATTTTGCCCTTAAATTTTATCAGAATCTTACGAATGAAAAGCTAAGGAGATGAAGGGCACCATTTAATACCAGCAATTCTATATTGTAATGGAAACAAAATGGATTTCTCTTATGTTAGGATCCTATCCAATTGTTCATTGGACTATTAAACTCAAAGATATATTTTAAATTGCATGTCTTTTTACTTTCCAGGCTGGTATCAATATAAATTATGTACTATGTGTAGATAGCTTATCAGAAAAACTTTTATTACAGGGAAACATGTGGGCTTAGCCCTGGTACACCTGTTTGAAGTAAAAGAAAGCAATTCCTTAAATATTAAATTTAGCAGAGGCACAACTGACTTCATATTCTATCCAATATATACCTTACGATACAAGTTAGACTATCACAGTGGTCCCTTCTGGCTTTGGAATCTCTGAATAATGCCCTTTTACTAAAACTTCATGGACAGGATTTCCTTGGAAAAGTCTATTCTTAATTTAAATGAGAATTACGATGTTGCTGATGTCTTGTTATTTGAAGAATGTTCTCAGTGAGTGATGCAAGAAACAAAGGAGATGTATTAAAGTGTGTACAGTGTGCTCTGATCTGAATTCATCCTATGAGTGATACCACTACATTATTGCCAGCTAGTAAGAGGAGTGCATATATATTTTTTATACGAATACAGCATTTCCAATAATCTTTCACTTCTAATGTCATGTTTATATTCACTTTTATTAAAGACTTATTAAATTTTTAAAAGAAACTTTAATGTTTGAAATCTGGTAAAAATATTGTGATTATTTACATGAGGTAATATGAGAGTATATATACTGGTAATTATAGTACTCTACCCTTCATTTCATTTAAAAAAAAAGGGGGGGGATAATGTTGATCATACAATCAGAAAATGTAGAGATGGCAAAGACCTGTCTTGTCTATCCCTTTGTCAGTCCAGGATTTTCTTTCACATATTTTCTAATCCTTAGAAGTAGTGCTTTGTCTATTCTCATTTTAAATGTTTGAGGTAATCCAATACTTCTTTTGAGAGACAAACAGAGCTTTGAAATGTAGTAATTTTTTAAATTTTACATCAAACAGCTTATTATCCTTTATCTGCTTATCTTGTTGTCGCCAGACTATTACAAATACGTTTCATATCAACACTGGTAATACTTCAAAGAATTATGTGGCTGATTTAAAAAAAATCATGAAATTATTGAAACAAGCACCTTGGGTGAAGATCAAAGTCTTTCAACTAGTTAAGACTGTAATTCAAAGGACAAGGACATTAGATTGCCAAAAAATGTCTTGACTACAGAAATGATTCCTGGAATCATTATCCCTCCAAAACTTTGTACAAGTTCAAAAAATTCTGTAAAATCCTGGCCAAAGCATTTCACCCCCAAAGGAGTATTCTGTTAATGAAAATAATAGCCAATGTCACCCCTCCAACACTCCCCCCCCCAACCCTCCCAAAAAACAAACCACTTCTGAATTTTGAAACCAAGAGCATCAGTAAAAGCAAAAGAAATGAGGATTTGGTAGGGTTTCCAAACTCCCGAATGCACTCTGAGTCTGTAGAAGACATAATGACAGAAGACAAATCAGATAATGAACTGTATTTGTTAGGTGCATGTCAAGTTTCAGAGCATGCTATTTATGCGTTCCTGGAAAGTCTGTGTATTAAAAGAAAGGAATCTTTATTCAAGATGTTAAAAACAGTAAAACAACAAAGGGAAGATACCTTAAAGCAAATGCATATGAAACCTGTTTCAAGCAACTACTTACAAAAACATTCCTCTTTAAATCCACATGGAAGAACTAAGGCCTGGTCTACACTAGGAAATTAGGTTGGTATAACTAAGTTGTTCAGGGGTATAAAATTCACATCTCTGAGCGACACAGTTAAATTGACCTAATCTCTGGTGTAGACGGTGCTAGATTGATGGCTGGGGAAGTGGATTACCTACAACCAATGGGAGAACCCTGCCCGTTGGCATAGGTAGTCTCTTGACTGAAGTGCTACAGTGACACGGCTGCACCGCTGCAGCATTTCAAGTGTAGACAAGCCCTAATGCTTGAAAGATATATCCTTAAAATAAAGTATTTCTGACTGTGAAACAATCTCTATTCAGTTCTCCATTATTGACAAGGTCAGTTTTAGGATCTTCATTATTTAATCAAGATAGCTTTTCAAGTGATGTCTCCAAATTAGCAGCCAAGATATCCTTGGGAAAGAACTCCACATCGTCTACAGAAGAATGCCTGGCTACAGACAGCAACCCCCAATCTTTGATAAAGAATACAATTTTATGCCCTAAACGGTTTTCCCCTCCAGCATTTTCTTTTAATTTTTGGTGTCAGGAAAGATTGCAAAACGAGAACATAGACAAGAGCTTGACAAAAGAAGCATATTCTTGCTAACTACTGAATATAATTCAGGTAATGCAACCCTTAGGTGTGATTGTAGCTAAGAACCTCTATGATGAAACTGTTACCTAAAGTATGGTTATATCCCTTATCCTTGGGAATATCCAAAACCATCAAAATACAGTAATCAAAAACAACATGTTTCCTATTTTTAATGAGGTTTTTTTTTGATGGAGTGATGGAAAGTGTTCCAAAGGTACGGTCACTTAAAATTAAGGTTCTTAACAAAGAAACTACCATTATAGTTGACACAATCTCGGGCAGAAAAGTATTGCCTCTTGGAATTAATTAATTTGTAACACCTACAGCAAAATTACAAAATGGGGATTACAAATTAAATATAATAGTTTATATGGCAATGGAAATATTAATGAGTAAGAATTTAATAAAACCTGTAAAGCCTTCAGGATTTAATCTATCAAAATAAAGTTAACAATAGAAATTGTTAAACATTTATTATTCCTTCAAATAGTGCAGATATATTTATACAATGATTTAGAAACAGATTTTCCCATAGTATGTAATACACACAAATGTACATACAGATTATTATGTAAAATCTGGATAACACTTACATCCTATTAAAGCTTTGATCTTGAAAGTCATTGTGCTGGGCATAGCAGAATGCACAATGTTCTTGCTCTCCAGTACAAGTTCATCTGTGAATGCAATTAGGCATACTATTCCACTTTGAACAGTTGTAAGTGTAATGTCTCCTGCACACCCACTCCCTTATTTGCAAGTGTACACGGTAAAAAAAAGATAAGGTGTGGCGAATGGGTGTGTCTGAGGCTATGTCTACACAGTGAACTAGGGGAGCAAGGCCCCTGCTTATTATACATACTCACGCTAACTCTCATCAAGTTAGCATGAGTATAAATAGCAGCGTAGCTGTCAAAGCATAGATAGTGGCAGCAGAGGCACAGTTGAGCCATGCTGAGTGACATACACACCGGTTTCAGGTGGGTTTGTGCTTGGCATGGCTCAACTGTGCCTCTGTTAACACTACCGTGACTACGGTGCTATTTATACCAGTGCTAGCTCGATGAGAGTTAGCATGAGAATGTGTACATGAACAGGGGAACAATACCCATAGCTAGGGTTGCCAACCCTTTAGGATTGTCTTGGAGTCTCCAGGAATTAAAGATTAATTAAAGATTGTCATGTGATGAAACCTCCAGGAATACGTCCAAACAAAATTGGCAACCCTACCCATAGCTCATAATGTATGTATAGCCTCTGAGTGTTCATGGAATACACATAGAGAATGCTCTTACTGGAAGGCTGCAATGTAACATGACTTTATTTTTTAGAATTCAGAATGACAACATACAAGAACCCCAAAACAAAGAGACAGATAGAATGGGTTGCTCTCTAAAACAGGGAGCCACAGCTCTCCTCACCTTACTGTAGGCTGTCTGTATAAATGACTTTGCTAGGCCCAGATCACACACTTCCCTGCAGAGTCCCCAGCCTGCAAACGGAACCAGGAATTCTCCCCATCCTGCCCAGCATTTAAAGTGATAGCTTACAATTTTAATAGTTTTCAGTACACCAGTGAGGAGACGGGCTTAAGAACATTCCTCATTATTAAAGCCAATGAGCTATGTACTCTCAAGTCTTACTCTTGCTACTAGGCCACACAGCAATGCTGCCATTAATGCAGGAACCCTTTTCCCTTGTTCTCTCTGTTGTGTTTATCACTTGGGGCCAGATTTTTAAAGATGTTTAGGCACCTAAAGATGAAGATAGGCGACTAGTGGGATTTTCAAAAGCACCTAAGCAACTTAGGAGCCTAAGTCTCATAGAAAATCAGATCCTTTGCACCTTGGTATATATGTATTTGAAGAATATGGGAGATAGCTGTATTAATTTTATATATTGTGTGATTTATATATTTGGTGATTATTGTATTTCTAGCTAAAGCATTAAGTCAGTCTTAATTAACTTTGGTCTCCAGGAACTAAACACAATGATTGTAGACAGCCCCAATTGCTAGTACTCAACGGACAATGAAATTTGAAATTTATCTCCACTTATGTCGAATCACGAGTTTGGCTTTTCTCACATAGCGGGGAGAAGGATGAGTAAAGTCACAGCCTCGGCCCTCAGGGAGATTCAGGTGGGAATTCTTAAGGAACTTGAGAGTTGTTAAAATCTGGGCCTCTGAGGAGACACAGGATCTGCAGAAAACCGGGTTGTAACTTGATCCCTAGGAGAACTTGAAGGGAGGGGTTCCCAGGCTTCCTAAACATGTAAAGAAACACTAAGGTTTAGTTAAGATAATATATGAATAGGCCTTTTGTTGTTTTTTATTCTTTTCCTCTCTGTTTGTTGTATTTCAATGGACAAATAATATTTTGTTTTGATCAAGCAGAAGTTGTTCTATGTCACTGCACTTTCACATTGGTCACAGGCTCCCAGAGAGAAGTCTAAGCAGGCACCAAAACCCAGCTGGACATGCTGAGGACAGGGTTGGTGAAGAGGGTGCAGTATCCAAGAGACCTAGTCTAAGTGTTGGGGTAAATTGCAGGATTTCACCCTGAGTGAAGTACAAGTGTGGGCCTCTCACTTGGAAAGTGTGCCCATAGAGAGACTGGGTGAAGGGTCAAAGATACAACTCACCCAGGAACCATAACAACATGAAAAACTCCATACCTGATCTCAGATCCTCCTACTGAACTGAACTGTGCTCAGTGCAAGACCAAAGTATAGATGCAAAGTTGCTTTAAGCCACTTTTACACCCTTCAAATCAGGGTGCAGATGAGGGACTGAGCTGGTCTCTGGTGTAAATGTTCTAATTTATCTGGCAGTCCACAACTGAAGGGGCCTGCAGCTGGGATTACTGGGGCACAGGGACACCTCAGGTCCTGTACCTTTCTCCTATGGCACACTCCTTTTGCACTGGAGATCAGTAGGGGTTGGTGTAAGTGCTGTTCCAGTGGTTCTTTGACACTGAAGGATTCCCCGAAGTAGAAGAAATATTCAGGAATAAATTTCTGGCTGCTTTGTGCTCTGCTGTCAGAGAGGGGCCCAGGATCTGGCCTCTGTGCTGGGTACAGTCAAGTCTTCAGTGTTGGATTTATACATTTTGAAGAAAACACCTTAGAATTAGAGAGAGTCTATAATTAGAATCAAGGTGTTATGTGAAACATTGGCTACAAGATCATAAAGAATGTAAAAAACAAGTTTTTAAATTATTTGTTGGAATTAACATTTTATCACATCTGTAATGTATAATTGCTTAGTTACCTTTATATATACAGTAGATTTTTTAGACTAATTAAATAGCATCACTGCATCAAAATTTTCCATAAGTAGGACTCTAATTTTGCATCGCTATGTATTAGGGCTGTCCAGCAATTAAAAAAATGTATTGTGATTAATCACGTGATTAATCACACTGTTAAACAATAATATTTATTTAAATATTTTTTGATGTTTTCACAATTTTCAAATATTGATTTCAATTACAACACAGAATACAAAATGTACAATGCTCACTTTATGTTAAGTTTTGATTACAAGTATTTGCACTGTAAAAATATAAAAGAACTCGTATTTTTCAATTCCTCTAATACAAGTACTATCGTGCAATCTCTTTATCATGGAAGGTGAACTTACAAATATAGAATTATGTACAAAAAAACCTGCATTCAAAAATAAAACAATGTAAAATTTTAGAGCCTGCAAGTCAACTCAGTCCTACTTCTTGTTCAGCCAATCACTCAGACAAACAAGTTTGTTTACATTTGCAGGAGTTAATGCTGCTTGCTTCTTGTTTACAATGTCACCTGAAAGTGAGAACAGGCGTTTGCATGGCACTGATGCAGCTGGCATCGCAAGATATTTACGTGCCGGATGCACTAAAGATTCATATGTCCCTTCATCTTCAACCACCATTCTAGAATACATGCTGATTACGGGTTCTGCTCGATAACAATCTAAAGCAGTGCAGACCAACGCATGTTCATTTTCATTATCTGAGTCAGATGCCACCAGCAGAAAGTTGATTTTATTTTCTGGTAGTTCGGGTTCTGTAGTTTCCGCTTCGGAGTGTTGCACTTTTTAAGACTTCTGAAAGCATGCTCCACATCTCTTCCATCTCAGATTTTGGAAGGCACTTCAGATTTTTAAACCTTGGATCGAGTGCTGTAGTTATCTTTAGAAATCTCACATTGGTACCTTCTTTGTATTTTGTCAAATCTGCAGTGAAAGTGTTCTTAAAATGACCAACATGTGCTGGGTCATCATCTGAGACTGCTATAACATGAAATATAGGGCAGAATGCAGTTAAAACAGAGCAGGGGACATACACTTCTCCCCCAAGGAGTTCAGTCACAAATTTAATTAACGCATTTTTTTTAAATGAGCATCATCAGCATGGAAGCATGTCCTCTGAAATGGTGGCCAAAGCATGAAGGCCCATACAAATCTTTAGTGCATCTGGCACGCAAATATTTTGCGACGCTGGCTGTAACAGTGCCATGAGAACCCTGTACTCACTTTCTGGTGACATTGTAAATAAGAAGAGGGCAGCATTATCTCCTGTAAATGTAAACAAACTTGTTTGTCTGAGCGATTGGCTATACAAGAAGTAGGACTGAGTGGACTTGCAGGCTCTGAAGTTTTACAGTGTTTTGTTTTTGAATGCAGTTATGTAACAAAAATAATCTACATTTTTAGGTTGCACTTTCACAACAGAGATTACATTACAGTACTTGTATGAGGTGAACTGGAAAATACTATTTCTTTTGTCTATCATTTTTACAGTGCAAATATTTATAATCAAAAATAATATATGCTTTGGTTTCAATTACAACACAGAATACAATATATATGAAAACATAGAAAAACATCCAAAATATTTAATAAATTTCAATTGGTATTCTATTGTTTAACAGTGCAATTAAAACTGATTGATTTTTTTAACCGCGATTAATTTTTCTGAGTTAATGGTGTGAGTTAACTGTGATTAATCGACAGCCCTACTATGTATCTGATTTAATGGGAAATATATGCGTAAACTGCCTGCGCATAAGTAGAAGTGCTTTGTTTTGAAACTCTCTGAAAAGGCGGATTCACAGTTTAAATATATCTGATGGAGAAATGATTGTATGCATTGTAAACACCATGGTAAGGAGATATAATTCATTCTCTGGGCCAAATTTTAGAGACTTTCTCTGAAAATAGTTAAATTTTACACCCCAAAATCATATCTGTTAGTATCATCACGTGCAGTAATGGAATGCCCCTAGTTTTGTACCTTCCAATAAGCAGCTGCATATGACAATCACATAAGGTCTGTGTGGACACACAATTATCCTATTTATCTCTGGTATTTCAGGATTTTCAAGCCTGGAACAGCTGTAAGGGGGGAAAAAAAAATCTTCACACTCTCTCTCACATGCGCAGGCACACTTGGAACAGCTGTAAGTTTCATTCTTTTCTGGTTCAATAGCAATAGAAGAAAGGCCATCAATTTTTAGGGGAGGTAAAGGTGAGGATGAGATGGGATTGAACTTCTCAATGTGTTTGATATCCCTTTATCCACTGTTAGGCTTGTACAGTTTGCTTCCCCAACTATGCTGGTCCCATTCGACAGACTAACGCAGAGGGTAAAGATGGCCTCGTCCTTGTCTCTCTCTAAACCCTGGTAGGCCAATTGATTCCTAAGGGGAGCAGGACTGAGCAAACAAAGATTACTATTGTGAGAGGCCTTTGTATGGCCATACCACAACTGGAGAGGAGCCTTGTGTGTCATCTTGCCCTTCCACCTGCTGTGTGATTTATAGGAAGATCAAGTTAACTTCTATGTTTCTTTTTTTATTCTCCTCACATCGTGTTATTACTAGTTTTCCCCTCCGTTTTCTGGGATATGTTAAGGGTACATTTTAGACATTTACTTCAATGACGATCTGAAGAAAACCTGGGCAAATAGAGAATTCATAACTCCTCCCTTTGTTTTTTCTCTGTCCTTTTTCATCCTATGATGATACTCATCCAATTCTGTTTTTCACTCCTTCTGTATTATTTTGCCTCTCTTGCTGCTCTGTTCTATTCTGGGAGCTGATTAGCCAAAGTGAATCTTAGTAGAATCTTAAGCTCTGAATTGCTGGCTTTGAGAAATGAACTCTAGTAAGTTTTACTGTGCTGAATAGTTTTACTAGAACAGTAATTTTATATTGTGGAAATTTTCATAGAAATGATGGCTTAGTAATTTATATACTGTAGCTGGGAAGTAGCTTTCAATAAAGTTCCAGTCCTGCAAACATTTGAGTATGGCTACTCACATATTTTGAGTGCAGTGCAATGTGACTACTCGTGCTTAAAGTTAAGCAAGTGTTTAAATGTTTGTAGTACCAGAGCCTATTTTATCCCTGTGAAAATAACTGGAATAACATTTATTTTCAAGGTTTAATTAAAAAAAACAGCCTGATTGCTCTTCTTCCATATATCATTTGGACATAAATCTATTTGCTGCAGAATTTTTTAAAATACCTGAAACAGTAGTTACTGAAGTCAGTGAGTACTGACCATGCTATATGATTTACTTGACTATAGCCAGGAAGTAAATGTCAGTCTCTTATTAGCACTTCTATGTATCACACTTTTTTTTTACATGGCATTACAAGTATATTTAATTTAAAAGAAGCTTCTTGAATTTTTCCCTCTGGTGGTAGCTGCAGTGTTTCCAGATTTTTCTGGGAGTAGTATTGTAGAGAAACCAGGGAGAGCAAAATTTTCCAATGCTCTCTGTGGCATGCTCAGAGGCACTGAAGATTTCAGTACTTTCCAGTGGACGTGTGAAAAAGACCACAAACTGCTAGACAAGGTCATTCATATATATCAATAAATCAGTTGCCAATGTAAAGCAGTTTTATTACAGACCTGACTAATAAGAGTAAGTCGTGAATCTGAGCAAGAAATGGACTTGCTTTGTAAAGAATGGTGGATATTTGGAGGACTAGTGAAAACTGTGCTTCCCAAAAGAGTTGGCAAACAATGAGAGAACAAGAAGTGCATCTATTCAGTGGAAGACCTAAATTGGGAGACAAACAGGATGACCACCACCCCCCAATGGCTTTTAAGCATTTTATCCAATTGACAAAAGAGGTGTATGACACAAATTTTTACACAAGGGTGGAGAGTGAGCCCACCCATACTCAGTTAGCAGTGGTGGCTCGCTCCTGTCTTGCAGAGTTGGACCTTGCTCCCCACTCCAGAGGTTGCAACGTGGCACATGGGATTGCATGGGCCAGCAATCCCATCTGCCATGCAGTGCCATAAATAGGCATTTTAGTGCCTGGGGTGAGCAAGCATATTTGCACCCCCTACTAGAGCTCTACACTACAAGACTATTTTTTAATCCTGCTCTCGTCCTGCCTTGCAATATCCCCTCCCACGTGCTCCTGAATTGTGTCCCCAGGGGTTGGGGATGCATGCCCGGAGCTGCTCTTGGGCACCCCAGCCCCCCCACCCAGGGCAGTTGGAGGGTCTGGGGTTCACCACAGTGGCCTAGGCTCCTTGGTTGTCTCATACCGTGGCCTGGCTCCAGCTTTCAGCCTGGTCAGGGAGCAGAGCCTGAGGGTGAAGAGGAGGAGCAGGGGTGGGGCTCCTGGATATGTACTGCTTTTGCATTTTGAAAAGGTGGTCACCCTACCTCTGGGTGGCCCTAATTGCCGCTGTGGGGTGAGTGCAAGGCGGGCTCAATCAGCCCACCACCAATGACCCATCACCCTTCTTGGTTGCAAAACCTTGCTCTGCCACTGAGTGTACCTAATTAAAAATTATCTTCAAGGCATATAGATAAAATACAAATCCAAACTCATGGCAGAGAACAGATTTAGAGGCAAACACAACATGATGCAAAGATACCCACAACAAGGGCCGTGTTAAAGATCTTTTAGTTTGTGCACTGAATACTATATAAACTCACTTGTGGTTCAATTAAAATGTTCTAATTAGTACACTAATTGTCAAGTTTCAATGTACAATTTCTGAAATCAAATCAACTTTTTTTTTCAATTTCATAATCTAAAATATGGGTATTTAGATTAAATGTGACTTGTACTCCAAACTCTAAGAGGCATTTTATCTACAAGTTCTTGTTACAGTGTTCCATAAGACTCAACAGATGGCAAAAAATTGATCTCCCAAGAATTCCAGGGCTTTCTAAAAATGGACTATGAATTAATCTTAAAGTTTCAAGCACAGTTTGAAAATCAATGTTCAATAACATCGACTTCCTACTACTGATCCCTTTTATTTTTAACGTAGGAGAGGTACAAAGTAGGTCTCCCATAATGATTTTAGCATAATGCCTTCCTTTATTGCCTGTGGATAAATCTCCCTTGAGTCTCCCATTAATTTCATCTAAATTCCCAGGTCTGAGCCCTTCCAAATCAGCATGGTGGATTATTTGGGGATATAGTGGATATGTGGTATAGTAGGGTGGAATTGGGGGATGGGAATGTGTGCTGGGTCAGTTGGGGATATGGGGATAGGGATTATGGATGATGGGGTATTTGTAAATGTGATGTATAGTTAGTGGGATTGGGGGTGTATTATGGCATACGGCATGTGGACGTGGTGTGCAGTGGGTGGAATTGGGGGACAGGGAGAGATGGTGAGTAGTGGACATTGTGTGGGCATAGGGTATGAGGTGGGTATTTGGGAAGGTGGAGGTGGTGTGCAGTGGGTGTAGCTGGAGACAGGGCAGTTGAGCATTTGGGGATATTGTTTGTGGTAGGGCTAGTAGGCAGGGCACTGGACTAGAATGTGGCAAACTGGGCTCTGCCTCCCACGTAGGGTGACCAGACAGCAAGTGTAAAAAATCAGGACAGGGGGTGGGGGGTAATAGGATCCTATATAAGAAAAAGACCCAAAAATCGGGACTGTCCCTATAAAATCGGGACATCTGGTCACCCTACTCCCAGGTGAGCTCGGCCAAGGACCCCCTGGATCTCTGTCCTTGTCCCCACTTCGTACAGCCTGGTGAAGGGACAGAGGCTGTAAGAAGACATAACAGGTGAGGGAGCAGCCCCTCCGATGGGGTACACGGTCGCGTCCAGGGTAACAACAGCGCGCGCGCGCCCTCACCAGGCGCCACCCCGCTACCGTTTAGGTAGTAGCGCGCGCCATCGCGTCACGCGCTCTGCTCTCTGTCAGGTGGCGGTAGGCGAGAACGACCGCTCCTTGTGCGCTTGCGCGGAGGGAGTGGCCCGTTGGGAGAGTCTGCGGGGGAGCCCGTACCCGTGGTTTGGCTCCTACTCGCTGCTCAGGGTGGGGACCCCTCAGCCTCTGGTCTGAGAGGCCCGGGCAGGCGGAGGGGAGGGAGCGCGCGGCCCGAGGCAGCGGCGGCTCCCGGGCCGGGGCAGGATGGTGTTCGAGTCGCTGGTCGTGGACGTTCTGAACCGGTTCCTGGGCGACTACGTGGTGAACCTGGACAGCTCCCAGCTCAGCCTGGGCATCTGGGGAGGTAACGAGAACCCGGCAGCCGCTCCCCGCGAGGCGGCAGGGCAGTGCCCGGCCCCCCTTCATACCCCAGCCCCGCGGGGCAGGCCCTTTCTCGCCCTCGGGACCGGGCGCCTGCCCCGCTACGCATAGGGCCCGTTTCTCCCGGGGCTCTCGGCAGCGCTGATCTCCTGGAAGTGTCTGGGGACGGGCGGGGCCCGGGCTGCTGCGCAACCCACGTGCCGTTGCCCCGGGGTGTGGCCTGCTCCCCGCGCTGAGCACGGCCCGGTGCCCCCTGAGATCGCCTCGCCTCCGTCATCTTTCGGAGGGTGAAGGGACTTTGCCAGTTTAGGGAGACTGCTTCCGTCTGGGGAGGACAACGCTGTTGTTGAACCCAGCGCGACTAATGGGAAAAGAGCCGAGAGCAACGTTCTTGTTTATGGATTTGACAGTACTGATATAGAGCCTTGTCTATCTTTATAGTTCGTGTCCCCTGTTCCCGTATCACGTTATTGCAAAAACAGGAAATTGTGACGGCAGAACTAGAGAAATTGGGCTGGGGGGCTTTAGGAACAAAGGCAATATCTGAAACTACTTAACTTTCTTAAGAAAGATCGTGTAATCTTTGTATTGGTGTCTCAGTTTGGCTGAAAACTTTTGAAAGGCGCTCTTGACATCCAAGATCAATGTACCCTTTAAAACTTTTTGGTCTGAGGGCCACATTGGGGTTGCAAAATTGTATGGAGTGCCCGGTAGGGAAGGCTGTGTCTTCCTGAACAGCCTGGCTCCTACCCCCTATCTGCCCCCTCCCACTTCCTGCTCCCTGACTGCCCCCCTCAGAACCCCTGCCCCATCCAACCCCCCCCCCGCTCCTTGTCCCCTAACTGCCCCCTCCTGGGACCCCACTCAGAACCCCGCCCCATCCAACCCCCTGCTACCAGTCCCCTGACTGCTCAGACCCCATCCACTCTCCCACCTCCCCCCCCCCCCCCGGGACTCCCATGCTTATCCACCCCCCACCCCCACCCCGTCCCCTGACCCAGAACCTCCGCTCCATCCAACCACTCCCTGTCCCCTGACTGCCCCCTGGAACCACCCTCCCCTTATCCAACCTCCCCGGCCCCCTTACCATGCCGCTCAGAGCAGCATGTCTGGCAGCCACGGCGCCCGGCTGGAGCCAGACACGCTGCCACGGTGGTGCTCGGCAGGAGCGTGCGACCCCACTGCCCAGAGCGCTGCCCTCACGGCGGCGTGGCTGTGGAGGAGTGGGAAGGGCTAGCCTCCGTGGCTGGGACTTCAAGGTCCGGGCAGGACAGTCCGACGGGCTGTAGTTTGCCCACCTCTGCTTTAAAAACTCTAGAAGGAAGTTGCATTTTAAACACTCCCCTGCAGAGTTTAAAACCTAAACAGGTGAAGTGTTCAGAACCTGAAAGTGAAACTGCCTGTGAATAAAAGTGAATCAGACTTGATTGAATTTTCATTATTCAAGGGGAGAGAAAAGCAAGTAACAGTATTAAATTTAATATTGATTCAAATTTTGTGACATAAAGTGGAAAGAGAAAACAGTTTTACTGTAAACAGATGATTTGTTAAGGATGTATAAAAAGTAGTATTATTTTAGTGCTTCAACATATAAACACAATGTGGAAGGTTTTATTAACTTGTTTGGATTTTATTTCTTTTTAAATAAAATTTATCAGGAATGGCAAGTATAGTAACTCCTCACTTATAGTTCTGTTCCTGAAAAATGCGACTTTAAGTGAAATGATATTAAGCGAATCCAATTTCCCCATAAGAATTAATGTAAATAGGGAGGGGGGTTAGGTTCCAGGGAAATTTTTTTTTGCCAGACAAACAATTTTTAAACAAGCAATTTAATACTATGCTGGGGTGGGGGGAGTAGAGTGCACGTGCTTGTGTTTACAAACATACTGTACATATAGTACAGTACTATAGTTGGGAGGTGCCCCTGCCTTACCCTACACAGGCACAACCAACTGGCACTGGAGATGAGGCAGGCAAGGAGGCTGAAGGTGCTGTAGGCTAGGAGAAGCACATTGCGCAGCAGCGGCAACTTCCCCTACTCTGCAAGCACTGGGGCGGGGGGGCTCAACCCTCAGCCCGCCCACTCCACCCCTCCCCCCAAACCCTCATTCTTGACCTGCCTCTTCTCCCCCCTCACCTCCTCCCCCTTTACTTCACATGCTGCATCCGCACTCCTCCCCCCTCCCTCCCCTCCCTTCTGAACACTGCAAGCCAGCTGATTGCCACTGGCAGGAGGCAGGGGAGGGAGGGGGAGCCTGCATGCCGAGTCCTCACTCCTCCCCCCTCCCTCCTGCCCAGGGCAATCAGCTGGCTTGCGGCGTTGGGGAGGCAGGGGGAGCCTGCACGCAGAATCCTTGCTTCCCCCCTCCCCTTCTCTCCTGCCTCCGTAACTCCACAAGCCAAATTGCTGCAGGCAGGAGGAGGGGGAAGGCGCTGATTCCTGGGGTCCGCCGGTGGGCGGGAGGCGCTGTGGGAAGGAGAGGGCATAAGGAGACTGCCAGCTGTGGAAAAAGCAGGCAGCCAAAGAACATAAGAGTGGAGCATTGCACAACTTTAAATGAGCATGTTCCCTAATTGATCAGCAATGTAACAACGATAACTGGGACGACTTAAAGTGAGGAGTTACTGTATGGTCTTTCCTACTTTTTTTTTTTTTGGTAGGACTCACTGGATGTCTGTCTGAAAACATTGTAACCAACTCCCTCTTGTCCAAGATAGGTTTAATCCTGTGTGAGCTGTGGTATACAGAAACAGGTAGTGTGAGCAGCAGTGATGACCACACCACAAGCCCTGAAGGTGTGTACTGTAGGCTCACACAATGGTATGCATGCAGGAATCATAAAATAAACAGAACCTTTACTCCCTAGTGTAGGTGGGGAAAGGGAGTTCAGTAAAGTAGCAAACAAGTCATATATGTGTGTGCGTGCACACAGATAAGGTAGGTGAGGTAATATACTTTATTGGACCATCTTCTGTTTTGGTGAGAGAGACAAGGTTTCGAGTTTAAATAGAGCAAACTTGAAAACTTGACACTTTCAGAAACAGAAGTTGGTCCAGTAAGAATGTTACCTCACCCACCTTGTTTCCCTAATATCCTGGAAGCAACACACGCATGCACACACGCATGCATGCAAAAAAAGTCAGTTAATAACATGCCTTGTGGTTCTATATCAGCCTGAATCCCCACTGGCCCCATTGTGTCTCTGGAGCATGCACACATTCTGAGACAGTCCTTCTCAGCTAGGGATTTTCATGTCTCTAGTGCCAAGGCTTCTTTCTTGAAGCCCTTCCTTACTCATAGCCCCTTCTTACCCAGGCCTTCACATGCTTGGGCCAGATTATAGGAGCTTTCCTTGGTCCTCTCAGGACTGGGACAGTCCTGCCTCACTCTCCAGTTTATCTTGATGGTTTGTGTATCCATTTCCACTCCTGGGATTATTTTACTGGTTGAGGAAAAGGGACTCAGCTCTCTGTGAAAACTTCTCTCTCTGATCAGTCCTAAAGTTGCAACAGCTCAGCTCCCTGCTGGAGAGAGAGAATGCACCTTTGCTAGCATGTTTATTGTGAGTAGTGTACCTTAATTGGAAGGACTGAGTTATTGAATCTTTGTTAAAGATGTCATGTTTCCAGAATGTTAATTGCTCACTTTGTTGTTTTATTAGCTCTCCAGTTGTCCTACAGGAAAACAAGCCTGAATTTCTAATATAAAAAACTCATACAAACTTTCAGCTGCCCCTGTGTGTGTCAGAGCAGGAGTGCCGCCAGCTTTTTTTGCCGCCCTAGGCGGTGGAAGGTCCCGCCCCCGACAGAGGCGGTGGAAGGTCCCTGCCCCCGAAATACCGATGACGCCCAGGGCGGACGAAGATCCGGCCGCCGTGGTCGCCGCCCCCCAAATGTTAGCACCCTAGGTAACCACGTAGGTCGCCTAATGGGTTGCACTGGCCCTGTGTCAGAGGGTAGAAGCTATTTTTTTTCCCCTTTGTAGGACGTCTTTAAGACTTCCCCTGGCTGTTTAATCCAAACAGTATTGGGCTGAATCTGATCTAACTAGATTTTTCTGCACTAAATGGAAATTGCTATATTTACCTATGGAAGGCAGTTTTGAGATTTGGCTGTAACATAATGGCATGTAAAACCTCACTTACTGACTGGTCTTTTCCCCACTTCCCTTGGAAGGGACACAATTCTACAATCTAACAATTTAAATTGTTGATTTTTTTTCCGGAATAGTCTGTAAAAATCTTTGCTTACTTTCATACTTTTGTAATAAATTTATCTTTCCTCCTTGATATTTACGTACTTGCAATACTTGACAATGCTGTGCTTTCTCATAGTGGGTTATTTAAGTTTGGTTCTCTTTAATTTTATAACCAAATCCCTCTGGCCCTTATAAAATTTGGTGCATGGAAAATGAGTTTTACCCAGTGGATTCATTTTTCTGATAGCATCGCTCCCAGAACTGTACTGGGTAATCTGTGGCACTGTTGAAACAGCATCAGAGGAGGTTGATTTGCACTGGTCCATGATGTGGTGCAGTTGTGGCGCATGCAACTCAAAATATATCTTTCATATTTTGCATTATATGTTAGCCTTTCATTCCAAAAGATCTCAAAGGCTTCGGAAAATATATATGCTCTTTCCATTCAAATGCCACCATCTCTGCAGCAAAGGGTGGCAGTCAGTCAACAACCTTCCTCCCCCCTTCCCCCCACTATGTTATAAAGCCATGGATCTCTAATGACCAATTCACCTTTTGTCCTATTTCCAAACTAATGTTATGGAACTCAGTTCTTTCACCTTAGAGGAATGAAGGCTTTTTGCCTTAATATTGTACTGAAAACTAATAATAAATTTGCTGCTTACAGTCTCTTGTATTACCACTTTCAAAGTA